GAATGGGAGGCTAACGCCAGGTAGACAGTGTGGGGACTGAATTGTAGGATACTCAGATGGTGTCTTCGGACAACTGGAGAACTGCTGGGGCTCAGAAGTGTTTTGAGAGCAGAGACACTATTTAAACCTAGCAATGGCGGGAACTGAATGTGCTAAAAGAACAAGGTGATGGAGGAGCGCCCAGTGGAGCCTGCTGTGGGGCGGGATGGAGCAGAGTCCTGACATGAATGAGCCACGCAGGTAAATGGAAGAACATTCCACGCAGCCGACAGCGAGGGCAAGAGCCATGAGGTAGAAGCACCCAAGAGTTGTTTGAGGCCAACCAGGGAGCCAGCTTGACGGGGAAGGGTGAGCAGAGGAAAGGGTGGCAGAGAAGCAGCATGGGGGATGGCGGGAGGCCTGTAGGCCCTGCTCAGGAACTGGCATGAAATTTTCCATCTGATAGGAAAGCACAGAGCCTTTGAAGGGAGGGAGTCCAATGAGCCACCAAAAGGTTCCTGCAGGTAGGCGGGGCAAAAAAGCTGTAGGGGCCAGAATGAGAGCAGGCCATGAACAGGACCCTTTCTGAGTGGCCCAGGCAAGAACTTGGTCACAGCAAAAGTCACAGGGGTGAGGAAGTCTATTCAGGAGGGAGAGAAGGATCTGCTTATGAATTAATGCAGGGGGCTCACAAAGAGGTGGTGCCCAAGTGGGTGACTTAGTGAACTTCCGCTCTATCCCACGTTCTCAGCTCAGTGGCCCCTCCTGGGGGAGGCCTGCACTGGCATCGCGACAGGAGAGGTCTCCTGTGAGACCACAATGTGGCCAGGCCTACCTTTTCACTCACTGTAGTGGGCACAGTCCTTGCTTGGCCAGCACTATGTGTCTGTGAGTCGTCTGGTACAGGCTTGGGTGCCAGAGACCCTATTTTGCTGTGTATTTTTTCCCACATAATGGAATGCCCACACATGACTTGTGACCAAAATCCACACCCAGGAAGGCACTATTCTTGTCCCATTAGGAAACTAAGGCTAAGCTCTGTCATCTGCTGTCATTGAGCTAGAAGTGCAGAGACTGGGATTTGACCCTCAGTCCTTCTGTGTATTAGACTCCCGCTGCCTTTTCAGGTAAGAGAAAGAGATGGGGCTGTGTACTCAGAGAGGAAAGATCGGTTAAAGAAAAAGTATTTGGGTGCAATGGTGTATGCCTATATTCCCAATGGCTCAGGAGGCTGAGGCCCTAAGCAACTCAGTGAGAGCATGTCTCTAAATAAAATACAAAAAAGGGCTGAGGATGTGGCTCAGTGGTTAAAGCGCCCCTGGTTCAATCCCTGGTACCTAAAATAAAATAAAATGAAGAAAGAAAGAAAAGAAAAAGTAGGAGGAAAGGTCAGGACAGGTTCTTGATTATATTCTAGTTATTCATCTGTAAAAAATTTAGGTCTACATTTGCAATTTCTGCAGATTTACACTAGGGCTATCACCCCGAACCCCTACTACAACTAGTTCTGCTGAAATTGTTACAAGACAGATTTCAGCCTCTTGGAAGAAGGCTTGTATTTTTCCTTCCCACTCTTTCTCAGTGTGTAACTATGTACTAGTGTGAGAAGGAGAGTAAAGCTGGTCTCCTGCCCCAGAATGGAAGCCACATGAGGGCAGCTCCATGTCCACAGCCCAGCTCAGTTCCTACCTAGAACCAGGAAATACTCAACTCATAATTGTTGGGTATACAGACATTGCTGCTGCCATTATTAACACTTTGGAAAGCAATG